ATTAGGTTCCAGTCTAACACTGAGGCATTATGGCTCATTTTAACACAATGCCAACAGGATGTAATATTAAAGCACAAACATAAAAAACACACCTACCCATCAATAACCCATAGAAAGGCAGTACCGCTGAAACTCTGCTGTTTTTGTGGCATAAAGAAATTAAAAAAACTCAACCTAAATTTCTGAACACATAACTTTGAGTGAGGTTGTTACAATTTACTTCATTAGACATACCTTGTAATGTCAAGTAGATGTAAATGAATTCAGATGACATTTAGAGCCTGTCACCCTCCACCTTGTATCCCTTTGGTTCTGTTTAGGTTGAGACATGTCTTGTCAGTGGTGTGTGGAACGTACATTTATTACTGCATCTTTAAGAAAGGTGATTTTTTTTTCCTGAAAGTTGCATCATAAGGACATGAAACAAGTCTTTGTAGCATAAATTTGAACATCCCAAGGTGAGCGTTTGTCTCGAGGTACATGAGTTTTAAGATCAGAGGGAGTCTAAAGATGATTAATGATGGCTGAAGTCAAGCCACAGATAAAAGACAGTGTTTGTGTCGATAAATTTGTGTTTGCAGTGTAATTCTGACCTCTCGGGGACAAACAAAACTTTATCCATAGTTTTGTGTCATACAGTAAAGCCCTGCTTTAAGTTTTAGTATCAGATTTTCTCTTATCATTCAGTAGGACTTTAGACCTACTGTCACCTGCATGTCTTTTTAACCAACTCTTTTTACCTATTTTGCTGGTGGTGGGTTAAAGGCTGAGTTTATTTATGTTTTTTGTTGTTAATTCAATCAGAATCTTGTTTGATATTTGTTGTTTCTTCTCTGTCATTTTCCTTTAATCATCCTCATTTTCAGTAAATCATCCACACCTGTTTATCTGCTCATTATCCTCAGCTGCACTCACTGACTAATCATCACTTCCAGCCTTCTTTTATTCCCAGTTTATTATTCTTTCATGCGTCTATTTCTGGCTTCTCTTATAACTCATCATGTTATTTTATAACCTCTTTGTGGGGTTTTAAGTAGTTGTTTTGCTGTCTTTTTTATTAATTTCTCATTCCTGGTTTTTCAAGTCTAATCTTTGGGTTCTTTTCAACACCTTAAAACTCCCACCTAAAATAAAACACAACATTTGCATCATTTACATTAAAGTAGTATTTGTTCAGACCTTCGTATTAGTATATTTAGTATGGAGCGGCATCTACAAGATAGAAAAATAACATTTTGAACTGAGCTGCAAATTAAAGAAAAAGTATTGAAAAATGAGTTCTTTGAATAAGAGTTGAGCTATTTCAGCATTGCATTGTGTAATAAATATTAGGGGTGCAACGATACAGGAAATTCACGGTTCGGTTTGGTTCGATACTTTACTCGCACGGTTCGATATTTTTTCGATACAAAAAAGAGAAATTTCCATGCCCCTTTTAACTTGTAATTTATTTAAATTAATTATGAACATTTGTTTAACCTCAAAAGTACAGTTTTTTAATTAAATGTTGCTGAAACAGCAAGTTTCTCTGTGGATCTGCACTCAAAAATGCAGCCCAGGTGGAGTAGTCAAACACAGATCCACTGATCCTTTAACACAGAGCATCTTCAGAAGACAAGTTGATAAAGTAAATTTTTAAAATCTGTATTGTTCGATACAGCACTGTTTGATATGTTTCGGTACGGTTCGATACGAGTACATGTATTGTTGCACCCCTAGTAAATATAGTAAGTTATACGTAGTATTTTAACATAACATACCCAACCAGACAGACTATGTGTGTGTGTGTGTGTGTGTGTGTGTGTGTGTGTGTGTGTGTGTGTGTGTGTGTG